CTTTATGCCCAGCTGCACTACTTCCTGAATTTCAGCCAGCTCCTTGTTTCCTGTCTGCCATTATTGGCCAAATTGATTAATTCAGGTGTGTCTGATTATTGTTGCCATGACTACTGAGGTCAGGCACACCTGAATTAATCAATTTGGCCAATAATGGCAGACAGGAAACAAGGAGCTGGCTGAAGTTCAGGAAGTAGTGCAGCTGTGCATAAATCCCATTGACCTTATGCACAGCTGCACTACTTCCTGAACTTAAGCCAGCTCCTTGTTTCCTGTCTGCCATTATTGGCCGAACTTGATTAATTCAGGTGTGTCTGATTATTTTTGCCGTGACTACTGAGGTCAGGCACACCTCAATTTGTCCAATAATGACAGACAGGAAACAAAGAGCTGTCTTAATTTCAGGAAGTAGTGCAGCTGGGCATTATTGAGAGCTTGTAGAAAAAGAAACCAGTGACAACAACTCTTCATTTTTATTTAAAAAAAAAAAATGTGTCACCAGATGCCAACAAACATGTTGATACCGAGACACTCGTGGGTTACACAGAGATCATCTCCCTCTAGCAACGAACCATTGAAACAGTTCGGACGTAACAAAGCCTCGTTTACTGAAATCACGTGAGGTTTGATAGTCGTTCAAAACCTCAAAACCACTGAATTTCGTAACAAATAGGTAGCCAACTTTTAGCGAGTCTAATGTTTTTAAAACTTTCGTCCGTTTTCCTGTGAAAATTGTTTCCTGTTGAGTTCACAGTGCTCTGATGCATTTTCTTAAAAGAACCACCAGATGGAGACATTTATCAATTAAATCAATATCATAAAATGAACTAAAAAAAGAAAGGTGTATATCAGTCAAGGATATTGATAAGTGCCCTGAATCAGGCTGATCTAATCAGTCAAATACGTACCCTAAAAGTGTGTGCTGACCAGTTGTGCTCCGTTTTCCATTTATTGTTTTCTCTGTCTCTGTCTTTTGCCAAAATCCCAGTTAAGTGGAAAACATCCTGTCTTGTCCCTATTCCCAAAAAAGCTAAGGTGTCTTACAATCTTTCTAACCTGAGGCCTATAGCTTTAACTTCGCAGATTATGAAGTGTTTTGAGAGGGTTGTACTGGATCATTTGACTAAGCATGTGTCTGCCTTTCAGGATCCTTTGCAATTTGCTTATAGGAAGGGTGTGGGGGTAGATGATGCACTGCTATTCATGCTTCACAATATTTATAGTCATCTTGAAACTACTGCCAGTTTCCCAATAGGATCATGTTTTTTGATTTTTCAAGTGCTTTTAACACTATACAGGCACATATTTTAGTTAATAAACTAATTAATTTTAATTTGCATAAAACAACCATTGCCTGGATTCTAGACTACCTTCTAGCACGACCACAGTTTGTTAGGATGGGTAACAAACATCCTCATACCATTTTAACTAATACGGGAGCACCTCAGGGTACAGTTTTATCCCCCTTTTTATTTTCACTTTATACTGCTGATTATAGGCATAGTCAGCCATCCTGCTGGATACAAAAATTCTCTGACGACACTGCTTTAGTAGGTCTACTTAATAAGGGTGATGATCTTGCTTACCGGATGGAGGTTCAGGCTTTTTATAACTGGTGTGAGACAAACCTTCTGAAACTGAACATTGGGAAGACTAAATAACTTGTGATTGACTTCAGAAAGAAAAAAGAGAAGGTCCTCCCAGTTAGAATTGATGGTCAGGTGATGGAAATTGTGCAGTCATATAAATTTTTGGGCGTTCATTTGGATGAAAAACTCGACTGGAAAGAGAACACTAGTGTTGTGATGAAGAAGGCTCAGTCGAGACTGTTCTTTTTGAGAAAACTAAGATCATTTAATATCAGCACAAAGCTCTTAAATGTTTTTTATCAAGGGATTTTAGCTAGTGTTCTTTTTTATGCTGTACTTTGCTGGGGTGCAGTATATCTGTTGAGGACAAAAATAGGTTAAATAAACTGATCAAGAGAGCTGGTTCAGTTATTGGTCTTAACCCAGATGCATTGGAGGTTACTGTGGAGAAGAGGATACATTCAAAATTGAAAACTGTCCTGCTTTTTGAAGGCCATCCACTACACAATTTGTTTAGGGGACTCAGAAGCTCTTTCAGTGAGCGATTGGTTCTGCCTCGGTGTTCTAGTGAGCGGATGAGAAGATCCTTTGTCCCAGCAGCAGTCAGATATTTTAATGAACACTGTTAATTATTGAGTGACATCCAGGCCTTTGATAGTGTTAGTGTTTAATAGTGCAGTGTGAAATTGAATATTTCTTTTAGTTGTGTCTTATAATCAGGTTTTGTCATTCTTTTAATGCATATTTATTTATTTATTTGTCTGTTAGTTGTGTACTGTGTTTATGGTTGTACGGTTGGTGGCAAACCAGTTTCCCTACCGGGATTAATAAATTTTCAATCAATCAATCAATCAATCAATCAATCAATCAATCAATCAATCAATCAATCAATCAATCAAATCATGCGCGTAACCAGACTTTTCTCCTTGTACATCGACCAAAGAGGATAACAATGAGAGTAGAAGTAAGGTGTTTTGGGGTTAAACACTGTTGTTTGTTGCTGATTAATCCCACTGGATATTATCAGGAAGGACTAAATAGTCCAGAAGCAAACACAAATCAACATTATACTATACGTGAATCAACACAGGCCACAAATAAAACATAAAAGGCACCAATATCTTACATTGACTGAGCAGAAAATCCCATAAATTCCCAGTCTGGACTCCAGGCACCGTCCACCGTGATATTAGCCGACATTCAAGAGCAATAAGCACACTACCTCCCCCTAGTGTCAGGTAGTAGCTTTACATACCAAAGGGGAACTTTTGACAGGTCAAGACTGTTACAAGTTGAAAGGGCTTTTGTTTCATCAGCAAAGGCTAAAATGTTTTGCAAATATCTCAAAATTAATAACACTAACTGTCATAATGATTTAATCAAGTTTTTAATCAAAACCATGAATCAGCACTGTTCCACTGTAAGGCCAGTGCAGATTTAGCCCTGTTGTGCTTAAAAAAAAAAAGTAAGGAAATATTTTTTTTTTGTTAATATTTTTGGTAATCAACATTACCCCACAAATGCTGCGATTGAACATAATTTGTACTGAATATTCCTTTTAAAAACAAGAATTTTTAAAGGGGCAGGACTAATGATCTCTATGCACTATTTACAGAAACATTGAATATTTTTGATGTCAGTTTTGCTCCCATATTTCCCATAATTTTAAGCATAAACACACTTATTATTATTATTTAAATGTGTGTTGTTGTTGTTGTTATTATTGTGTTATTATTATTATTATTATTATTATTTAGGAGTTAGATATGAGTGTAACCATGGCAACAAACACAGTAATCAAACAGGTGGGAATAATCCTCGAAACAGAACATAACCCTTACACGACACTAAAAAATGTTATTTAATAATAATAATAAAGCAGTTTTGAGTAGTTAAGGCTTGATTTCTTTCATGGAATCTACCTGAATAAATCATGTTAAATCCCTTTAATTATTTAGTCTGATACAATGAATTTAATATTATTAGTGAAATATGCTTTTTATTTTTTTAAGTTGATGCTCAAAAGTGTATGAATTAGAGTGAATTGTAGTAACCTGTTTATATTTTACTTTCAGTTATATTGCATTATTAAAAGCCTTTATATGCCGCTTGCACAGCACTAAACCAAACTTGTTACTGCATTAGCATTATATCAAAATTATTAATCATTGAAATTTAAAGCTACACTCATCAGAGTAATAATATATGTAGGTATCACAACCTTACTTTACGCCCTCCTCTTCTGCACAATGGTAACGATCAAAACTTTAACTTAATTGAAACTCGTTCAAACGTCAGATATGATGACCAATCATCATTAACATTTAACATATGTTTCCCTTTACTCAAAAACACACAAAATAGTAAATCTCAATATCTCCTCTCCATTACCAGCCATGTGCAAAGCATGCTGGGAACTAACAATCGTGTCTCTTAATAAAACCGCATAATTGAGCTAATTCTCTTCAAATTAATTGGTAGCCCTTTTTCCTTAATTTTATCAGCTTAATCGGTTCCTCAATTCAAGCCTCAAAATTTTTGTATGTTTCCCTAAACTTTTTTGGAAAATATCTGTTTTATTAGTGAATTATTCTCAATAATTTCTTACAACACTGAACCACAATTTTCTTAATAAAATATACACAATATTTTTTTTATTATCACCTTGAATTTTACAAGACCGATGATTCAATTTTTACAGTGAAGTAAGTTTTATAATTAGTTGTGGAACGCAACAAATAAAAAGAAATGCATCAAAGTAAAGAAATACATCTGTATAACCATCTTAACAGTCTACATTTTTGATACTGCAACTGGTATTGTTGCTGTAACTGGAAATGTCTTGTACCTTTATGTTGTTCATGTTTCTAATTTAACACTAACATTAACCCTTGGTTATTCATACAGAACAGAAAACAAAGGTTGACCAACTATGAATAGCATTAATAGAGCATGTCTCGCAGCTGCTCTGGAACAAAAATCTGCATTAATAAGCTTAGAAACTCTCTGATTTATCTTCTGTTGAAACACACTTTACTGGTCATTCCTAGGATATCGAAGTCCAGTAAAGGAGGGAGGGCGTTCTCGCATTTAGCTCCAAAACTCTCGAATAGCCTTCCCGATACCAACGCATTCTCACCCCAAGGCGTCACCTTTGACCATGCTTCAATATTTGACGTTTTAGGCGCCCTTTAGCGTCACTTACATGACGCGATCCTACGGCGTCATCTAACTGACGCTAAAGGAAAGCGTCAGTAAGAGGACGCGGTTAGGTTTAGGTATGGGGTGGGGGTAGGGTACACGCGATCCTAGGGCGTCATCTAACTGACGCTAAAGGGCGCCTAAAGCGTCAGATATTGAAGCATGTCCAAATGCTTCCCAAGGCGTCAGTTAGGTGACGCCTTGGGAGTGAGAATGGGCTGGAATGCGTCACACAGCTGGATCTTGTCTTCTCATGGCGACTGGTGCGTACTCTGTGTGATCCTCTTCTTTAACATTCTGTAAAAAACAAACACAATCACTAGATATATCTTTAAAAAATTGATTCATCTATGTCAGCTGTTCTCAGTGGTTTTGCTTTGGGACCCACATTTTACACTGGACATCACATTATGATGTCACTTAGCAAAACTGCATCTTTCATATAGGAGACTCGGGAGTTTATTCAAATCAAATATTGACATGTTGTAATATTAGCATGAACTGCACATGTTTATATTATGACGCATGGTATTACTAACATATGTTGCTAAATGCAACAACAAGTGCTATTTAAAGCAACCTGGGGCCCAGCAGTAGCCTATATTACCCCCAGCCAAGTGAAGTGTTTCACGAATGAATGAAAAGAAAAACAACGTTGTTCTAGAGAATTCAGGTAATTGGAAGTGACATGAACCAGAACAGAGTTGCATTGTAATGCGGCAGATCCACTCATCTTTTAATAAGCATCCATCCATCAGTGCATTTTCCCATAGACGGATAATTGCTAGCTGACTGACTGACTGAAATCATTAGAAATAATTCACTGAATACAGTGAAATATAAACATAGGTCTAACCTTGCTATAATAAAAAAAAAAGAGAAGAAAACATTAGTTTTCATGAGAACAGGCATTATCTGTGCTTGATTTAGCAAAGCTTGTGGCCGTTTGTGAAGCTCTGTCTGAGTTCGATTGGACAGCCTTTTGACATCAATAAAAAAAGATATGGAAAGTTTCCTTACCTTTTAAGAGGTTGGTGAATCTATTTATAGTCCAATATTTTGTACAATTGGTTAGTTGTTTTTTTATTCGTTTGGCCCTGCGGTCTGCAACCCTCTCTGAACAGATCTGTGACCCATTTATTTGGCCTTGACGCGTACGATGACTTCCTGATTTCACACAGAGGATTTCACAGAACATCTAGCCTGTCTGTGCAAGTAATGTGGACAGTGTTCACAGAATCACTCCACAGCCGGGGAGTAAATGTTGACATTAACGTGTGTTTCATGTGTTTTTTAGTATTGGAAAATAATTGTGTGTGTGTGTGTTTATTGTCCAGCTATGTTGGAGATCTAGAATAGTGTCAGTTGTTTTTGAGTTGCTGCTAACAGCGATAAAGTGTGGAGCTTGTGCTCACTCAGGATGTGGGCGACTGCATGAAGACTGTGTGTGTGTGTGTATGCGTTGCTTTATTATCACTGAGCTAATGCTAGTACTGACAACAGTCTTAACTTACTTGCTCAAACATTAAATATAACAACAAACAAAATTATATTTAGTATAACATTGCAAGGGCGTTTGATTTTGACATTGATGGGAACAGACAACGCTATCACACAACCAATTCGTAGGAATTCATACGAGTGATTAAAAGGTGGCTAATTCGTACGATTTGTCTAAAACCACATGATAGTTATTCGTACGAATTTGGTAGGCTAACTCGTAAAATATGTACAAATTAGCAAACGAATTTCTACGATTGAGGTCATATATATTTGTACGAATTGCCACCTCGTAAAATTCGTACGAATTGACTCTGTGCACAAGAAAAATGCTAACTTCCGCCTTGAGGGCGGATGTTGGGTACTTCGGTTCCGGTTGCCGTTGTTTACATCCTACATCAGTGGACCTGCTATCTAAAGCTTAGCTATCTAAATATATTTGTCTAAAACTATGTTCGTTTGTTCATTGTCAAGTCAACCAACACAGTTTTCACTCATATGGGTGGAGCCAGGCGCTGCTGCATTGTGAAAAGTACGTTAAACGATATTTCACATTTTGTCAAGCGTTGCGTATCCATGACAACTAGAAGGAAGTTTTTAGGCTACTAATTATTTATTATATTATACCTTTTAACCAGGAGAAGCCCCTGGGTTTAGAACCTATTTTGCAAGGGAGACCTGTTTAGAAATATGTGTGAACAGCCTAATATGTGTTAAACAGCATAACTTGATAACGAACGAACCAACGTCGGATACCTTTACTCCCTGTATGACATGTATAGTGGTTGTCAACACTGATCTATATGACATTCTATATAGATAGTGGTTGTCAACAACATAGCCTCTGAACATCTTAAACAAAACAATGGCCAACACAAACTGTTCTGGAAAATGCACTTTCTAACGCATGATTTCGCATTTTATAATGTATAGAGAGAACAGTTACCAAATCGCATAGCTTGAGCACGTAGCATGGCAACATTAATGTCCGAGTGATTCCACGTGTAGCTACCGCGTATGTACACGCCGTCAAATGTCCGAGCGAAACAAAACAAAATGTAGATCTACATCTGGGGAGCGATATTTATTTTTTCCTAGGATGGTAGGAGTGACGGGTATATATATATATATATATATACACACAATAATATCGTTAAGTCAACGGTATTCATAAACACGCTGAAAAGAGATTATGCGTGTTGATAGCATGCCAAAAATACGTGATACGTGTCATACATACGCAATTTCATGAGATCAGTCAGAGCATGGATGTTGTTGTGACTTAACGTTCCCTTCAAAATTATGCAAATACTGAGAAATTTAATATTTAAACCCCTTCTCTCTTGCTCTCGGGAGCTGGAGGAAAATCATTAGCCAGTCGATGAACATAATCGACTGTAATATTCGGCAAATGTTCAAGACATCTGGAGAAACATACATCCTCTACGTCGTCCATCAGGCTACCGGAAACTAGACACCCCATATCGGTTTCGCAGCCGGAACTAGCATATGCTAACGTGCACATAGTCCATTGCTGTGAGATCGGGTTGGACAAGACTGTACAAGCATCTGCCATTTTTTGCATTCATGACTTTTGACCACAAAACCAATTAAACTTAACAGAACATTAACATGACAGCTACTTTATAAAAAAAATAAAAATAATAATAATGGTCGTGAGGTAAATTAAAATCCAAATGTATTACCTATTCAGACAGTATGTAATTTCAGATGCAGTGTGTGTGTGTAGTCTGGCCAACTTGCAGTTTTTCAAGAGGTAATAAATCTTACAGTTCAGGTTCAAATTAGACAAATACACTTTTTATGTAAGTTGTACCTATACAAGTTATAAACAGAGTTAAAGCATAAAAAGAGTCACATGATTAACTTGACTAGTCAAAGCAGGTTGCGTTATCAGCCACTGATTGACAGATACACCACACAATCTTATTTCAGTTTTGTTTTGAATTTCAAAGGAAATTCTAAGTTACGGATGTAACTTTGTTTCCGTAAAGTTCTAACTTTATCTTATTCTCAAAGCTGTGACAGTTACGTGAGGTATTTTCACAGAAAAAAAATGACATCAGTGCCTCTGTTGGACACTGCCTGGAAATATTAAATTATATCCTGTGTGAGTGTATTGAATGTCATGTTGGGCGTTGGAAATATTTAAAAATATCCTGTGTGAGTGTGAATAATATGTGATTTGAGTCAGTGTTTATTTCTGCTGAAGTGTTAGGGACACAGAACACAAATTAATAATAAATCCAAAGATCTTACCGATTTCTGGGATTTTTGTCCATGGAACGTTGGCTCGGTGTAAATGATCTCATCTTCACATGTCTGAACTGCTGAAAAACAATATCATTACATTCAGAAAGACATTCTTAAACCATTCTTAAATCTTTGACTGGATTTATGACTTGGTTTGGACAATAGTTGATTTTTAGACAAAAGTATGGTATTGCATCATAATGTGAATTGCATCATGTTATTTCTAAAAGTCATGGATGATGCAATTATAAACACTCTGCAAGAATAAAATATGAACATAAAAGTTTTTTGCCTTTAGTTTCATACATTTATTTATATAACCCTTTAGGTGATTTTTAAAGTGTTACGTAAACAGGACAGGGGGCACAATAGGCCATACAGAGACATAAAAACGTAAACACTTAAATATCTTGGAAACAGTAGCCAATCAGTTGTTCTAACTGTTATATTTGAGTTTAGCAGATCAAAATACATAATAATTAGCACATTTTATCTCTGAAGTAGACGACTTTTAATAAAGTGTTGACCTGTGTTATTTGTAGTAATTGAGATAGCATTTCTGTTCGTACTTCCATGTGTTGTGATGCACCTTTTGTGCGAGTGAGACGAGTAAAGTGAGCTGTACAATGTCATAGATAACTCAATAACTTGACATTATGTTGGATTCTTTCAATGAAAAGGAACTAAAGGGTGTTCACCTTATGACAATAGGGCAATCAGTTGTTGTGTTCACTTTAAGCCTATTTTCATTCTAAAATGCATGTTTGAGATGTATAACTGAAAGCAACTTGCACTGTCATGTCTTTAAATATGTCAGTGCCATTGTTATGTCTCAAGATGCACACCAGTAATGTTTTTTTGTTTGTTTTCTAAGGCATGGTTATGAAAGCAACTTAAATGTCGTAATTAAACTAAGGCCTAATCCTGGCTTAATCTAAGCTCTGTTTGTGAAACAGACCGGAGGGTATACTGTATTTAGCAGTAGATAACACTTGCATTTTTGGGTTGTTTTTCTGTGTTTCCTGCAGATGCGGAAGATCACGACCACAACAATAATCATCAGAGATCCAGCCGAGATCAACACTATCAGAGACACTAGAGAGAGTGAAGAAGAGTGTGTGTCCGCTGTAATGATAAAGAAAGAAGTGAACGCATCAGTGTGATCTACACCAGAAGACAGAGATCAGGTCAGTAAACACACACACATATCTGATGAGTGGTGGTGTACCTGCACATGTGTGTCTGCAGAGTGTGTTGATGTCCAGATGTGTGGTCTGGTTGCTGATGGGATTGTTCAGCACACAGCTGTAGGTGTTTTTATCCTGATATTCCACCTCCAGAGGTAGAGAGAGACTGATGCTGAGATCACACACACTGATGCTGGACAATACACTCATTCCTGCGTACCAGGACAGAGTCGCATCACACACACTCAACACTGATGATGAACACACCACTGAACAATTTGATGATGATGATGATGAAGGTGAGCAGTCTCTGCTGATAACAGGAACAGGCAGACGAGCTGAAAAGTGAATGGAAATGAGGATAAATCTAATCAAGACACAAAATTCAGTATGTAGAGTGAATGTTTAATGTGATGAAAGTGTAATCACAAACAATAAAATGATTACAGGATGCCCAAACCTGTTCCTGGAGGTCCACTGTCCTGCAGAGTCCTATCGAAAAGCTCGAGTCTTTCAGACTTATTAGAAACTTCCAAGCAAGTGTTTTAGAGCTACAGACTTTGCAGGACAGTGAACAGGATTGGACACCCATGGATTAAACCTTTCAATATGTTAATAATAAAATAAGAATATTCACCTTTTTTTCAACGCCCCATGAAGCTTTAAATGAATTATTGTATGAACTTCCATTAAACTGTAAACAAATCAGCGAAAGCCTCACTCTATGCAAGCAATAAGCATTTTCAAAAACTGGATACAATGAGATGTTATGATACCCATCCCTTCAAACACTGAACATTAAAGAATATTTAAAAAGTGCAAAAGCATTCGAAACAGACCATGATTGACACCAAAGCTCAAAGAGTTATAAAGCACTGATATCGGATGTCTGAATAGGGGATTATCACGCTGATACGTAGTACTTCCGGATTCTGTGATCTTTGTGCACTGCCACTTCCGTTGAATCACCGATCTCGCTGGCGAACTGATGACGGACTACACCAAGTTTATTTATACGGCATCCCTGGTAAATTAGTCTGATTCACTAAAGTGCCCACTAAAGGGCTGCAAACAAACGTGCTACCTTGTTTTATTTGAAAGTTTTAATCCAGTTCTTCCTTATACTCAATTTAGTCGGGAATCCATGAAAACTTACTTAGGGTTGGCGTTGTTGGTTAGATTTACAAAGTGGAACAGAGTAGTGACTAGGGGTGCAACGGTACAGATAGCCCACGGTACGGTCCATACCTCGGTTTTTGGGCCACGGTCTCGGTTCGGTTTCGGTACATGTTTTGTGCAGAAAGAGACTGCTATTTCATCCCAAAAATATGTTTTATTTTTCTTATATGCATTAACATAATGTCACAGTAGGAAGAACATCAATGTGTATGAAATAAATTAACACTCTATAGTCTGTACTGAACAGAACTAAGTAATACAACCTCTTCAACTACCACTTATAAAATACAAAATGTAAACAAACACACTTTAGAATATTCAAGTGGATCCCAATTCCAAACCTTGATAACTGGTATATAAAGTGATCAATGTGAAAGAAAAAGTGCACTTTTACCTTTAACAAACATAAATTACAAACATAAATTAGCTTGTGGTTTGAATAAAAAAGAGCCGAGCAAAATAATATAATAAAAAAAACTTCATTCAGGATACAAAGTGCAATGTTATTTACTCATCCACAATTGAGAGATTCTTGTGCAAAAAGATACTGCAGTCAAACGTTTGACTGGGTTTGCGTTATGCATCCACTAGATGTGCTGGGAATGTAGCGAGTGCGCGGAGCCGGAGGTGAGGCGTTTATTTAGTAAGCGTGAGCGCGCTGGGGCGGGCACAACGTACATTCGCAGCCTGACTCATATATTCAATGTGCGGCGGCTCGCTGCAGCAACGGCTCGCTGTTTTGAATGAGACGACCCGGTACTGTGAACGGGGAGCGGTTTTTTGAACATCTGTGACGCGCGAGCAGCGCCGTGTGACAAAGCGGGCATATGCTGGACACGAGCGCGAGTTCGCGGGCGAATTTAATAACGCGGAGCGTTGTTAACTAATTCCATATATAAGGCGATCCGGATTATAAGGCACACTGTCGTTTTTTGAGAAGATTAAAGGCTTTTAAGTGCACCTTATAGTGCGGAAAATACGGGAAAAGGATCAGCACGAACTCTATGGCAAAACCGAAGTCCCGCGGGACACGAGGGTAGATTGTCCCGTGCAAGGCTGACCGAACGGTCCGGGATTTTACCGTGTACCGTTGCATCCCTAGTAGTGACATAAATAGCATTCGTCTCAGCCATTGTTGAACTGCGTCGGAAGTGGACATGCACAAAGTTGACAAATCCCGCCCATGAAACCCGGAAGCGTGATAATCCCCTATTATGCAACATAGGTTGATTTAATCAAAACGATCATTAACTGGATTATTGAGTTATATTTCAAAGTGTTTTCAGTCAATGTGAAATATTGTAATTAGAAACATTGCAGTAAACACTGTTAATAGGAATTGGTTTTATGCACAGCTGCACTACTTCCTGAACTTAAGCCAGCTCCTTTGTTTCCTGTCTGCCATTATTGGACAAATTGATTAATTCAGGTGTGCCTGACCTCAGTTGTCACAACAACAATAATCAGACACACCTGGATTAATCAGTTTGTCCAATAATGGCTGACAGGAAACAAGGAGCTGGCTGAAGGTCAAGGAAGTAGTGCAACTGTGCATAAGGTCAATTGGAAGTGAAAGGGGACATAATTACATTTTAAAGCCTTTGTGTGAAAACAAACCTGGATTTGGCGAGAAAACCGAGGGATTGATAATGCATTCCAGAGAATTGTTAATGGTAGGCTACAGCTTGTATCGTAAATTGAAATGTGAGAAAATACCACAAATGTGTAGTGTATGTTGTCTTTTTTTACATTTACAGTGGAATATAAAGGAATAAGGAAAATATTCAGGAGGAAAGAGTGCAGCGGATGAAGAGCTCTTGCCATAGAAATATTAAATCAAACATTACATTATTCTCCTGATGTCTGAAAAAAGAACATGAAGGAAATTTTACAGCTTATTGAGTGTTTTTGTTTGAGTTTGTTTGAGTGTTTTTGAGTGGAATCCCATAATTCAAAATACAGTAGATCTCGACTCACCATAGACAGAAACATTGAATGTTTTTGATGATTTTTTCTTTCCAGTTATCTCTAGTGTATAAACTCCAGTGTGTTCAGTTGTGGTGTGTGTGATGGTCAGAGATCCAGTTTGATCGTCCAGCTTCAGTCTGTCTCTAAATCTCCCATCAGGAACATCATCATATGTGGTGAAGTTTTGTCTGCTGATTTTAGCTATGCGAGAGTTTTCAGCTCCATATTTCCACATTACATCTTCATCTTCATGTATTTCAGTAAGATCAGTCTTTAGAGTGACAGAATCTCCCTCCATCACTGACACTGAATCACCAAACACACCTAGAGAACGTGAAAGGGGTTTGTCAAGGTTAATGCTTCATTTGGTCTGCAAAGAACCCCCAACCCCTTTTAACCCAATGTATATTACATTTCCAAACTCCCTGATAATTTCAGGACCCTGTACACTAATATAAACACCATAAACAGATACCTGATTCTAAGCTAAATAAGCAATATAAATGTGTATAACTTACCACCACACAAACAGGACAAGATCAGCATGTGAAACATTTTCTTCAATAGCTCAGTGAAAGGTCTGACCGTATGATGCTCTCCAACTGCTGTGTGTTACTGGAGTGTGAATCCTCCCCCAACAGATTGACGACCCTCCTAGTTCACACACACACACACACACACACACACACACACACACACACACACACACGATGGCATCTTGTATAAATAAATAAATAAATATATGCATATGCTCTTTTGTCTCTTATTAAGACTTTAAATTTTCTTAATATATTTAGTATTTAACATTGACAGTTTTTAAAACCTTATTGTCTGACTAACCATGCATAAATCTACCAAAATGTCATGGTAAAATATAGATAATTAGTTTTAAAATAGTTGTATATTCATTCAGTTGTTGGGTATGGCAAAAAAAGGATAATAATTTACAACAGTCTACCATCTTACATTAACATTTTAGCGAAGCGATAGTAGCATACATAGTTCATCTGAGTCTATCTGAAACTGTCTTTTTCCATCCAGAAGTGATGTTGGTTGAAGTGTTGTACGGACACACGTCATATGCGTGAGTGGGGGTTTTCGGTGTAGGCCTGTGTTTAGTTTGTGTGTGAAGAGCATGTTCACCGTGTGAACCTGATATCCCATACACAGAACAGTTTAAAGTCAAATAAAAAACTTTGTTTGACAGAGGTAATATTTCCAACTAATGGAGTTTAGCTTAAAGGGAGACTATGCAGTTATTTTAGCTTAATTCAACAGCTTCAGATTTATTGAAATGGTTTTATGACTTCTTTCGGGTTGAATGGGGGGCGTCAGCCACTAATAAACAATCGGTTTTGATGAGGAAAATAAACTATACTGTTAGTAGGGATTAGAACCTTTGACACACATGGCAAAAGTTCTTCCTCTGGACAAGTGTTTCCCAAATTTTTTTTCTGGGGACCCACATTTTAAAGTCGATAAATCTTTGTGACCCAATATTGTGGCGTATATTACTCAAGTGAAACCAAACAAACAAACAGACAATTAAAACGCCACAGCAGGCTGAAACATGAGGATTCACACTGAAGACGCGTTACGCTGAACCTTTGTATGTATTGATCAATCTCTTTATTACGCTATTTCACAAACATAAACAACCAATCACTTACTTGAGCGATGCATAAGCAGTGCATAGGTACCTCAGAGACATCAATAAAGGACGTTAGTAACGATCACATTGATGGGAAAAAGGTGGTAAGGCCAGTGGTACGGTCAACAGAAAGTTTCTCCCCATAATCACCCTGCAGCCATGATCCAAACCCAAGCTTGCGCACAGGTGAGCACACTCACACAGGTGTGTTCGACATCGCCTGCGGCTGCATGCAACCGATCGGCGAGAACAGCCGCGTGCAGGCGGGGAGGAGCTGCAAACGGAGACGTGAAGTCGGACACTTTCTGGTCCCCGTAGTGACGGCTCACGTGGTGTTTGCATGCTTATACCACAGCTGAAGTTAAATAAATGCAACATTTGCCAAATAAACAGATATTTCAGACACATTTTCATTCAATACTTTACAGCGTCTGTTTTAATAAAGTTCAAAATAAGCCTATAATCAATGACGTGGAATCAACGTTTTTTAATCAGTTTTATTTTGATAAACATGACACAATATAACATTGCGACTACATGACAAGAGTGTTTACTGTTATAAAATACTGATTTGTGAGCTTTAGTGGAACTAAAGGTGTGATAAACACGAAACGCACGTGATCGTTGTCATGCGGTGAATCCGGCGAA